TCTCTCTCTCTCTCTCTCTCTCTCTCTCTCTCTCTCTCTCTCTCTCTCTCTCTCTCTCTCTCTCTCTCTCTCTCTCTCTCTCTCTGTCTGTGGGTGCCTACCTACCTCCCTAAGAATCCCAAACACACTTTAGACTCGCTAACTGCTCCAGCCCCCTCCTTTCCCCTCCTCTCCCCCCTACTTCTCCTCTTCCTGTGCCTTGCTCTTTTCACGTCCTCATGGGAAGTCTTGCAGTCACTGCACGAAAAGCAGACGAAGAAACAGGGAAGTCAACCAGGACAGGCAACATGTTGTATACAGGATGCAGAATTGTTAAACCCACACCTAGCGCCTGAGGAGTTTCACCCACAGCAGTGACAAAATAATGGCCAGAAGAATAGACCAGATGAGCACAATGGTTGGAACCTTGTTGCTGCGGCCCATGAGACCCTTGGCAAATGGGTACAAGTGAATCAACACCCAGAACGAGAAGAAGAGCATACCCAATAACCTACCCCACTGCTGTTGCTCCTGCGTAGCGTACATTTCTCTCGCGATTCCCGAGAAGCAGGCTAGAATGTTCACAATCATAATCGTCGTCGGCGGAACCATCAACCAGGTGAATCTGAACGCGTAGAGCTCCGCAAACTCGTCCAAATCATCATCCGTACCCTTCTGCGTAAGGGTGAAGGACGTGTCCACACCAGCCAGGACCTTCAGCATACCCTGTACGACAGCGGATGCATGAGCACTCGTACCTCCAATGACCCAAAACTGTTCGTTACGCCACCACTCCTCCAAGTTCACGCCGCTCCATCGGATCTCCAGGACGGCCGTTAAGAAGATGGAAATGAAGAGCAGCAGAAACCACAGCACCGCAAAACCGCTGATCGTCGTAACAATGAAACTGTTCGTGAAGAGACAGATGGCGGGAAGGAAACAGTACACTAGAAGCGCAATGGACGTGAACGGGTAGACGCAGGTGTTGATGTACGCCATCCGTTGTGTGAAATACAGGCTCTTGCACCAGTGATAAACTATGGGATTGTGCTTGGAGAAGAAAATTTCTACCGAACCTGTCGCCCAACGCAGCACCTGGCCCAGACGATCCGTGAGGTTGATGGGCGCAGATCCCTGTGTGTTGACAATGAATAAGGCCAAAAAAAACAAGGAACAGACACAAAACCCACCTAGTTAGACACAAAACCCAAGCAGATCCCTGTGTGTTGATAATGAACAAGTAGAAACCAGCAGACCAACAGACAATTCATGTCTAGCATACATGTGTGACTCGAGACAAACCTTTTTTTTCCTTGACCATCAGTACATATGATGAAGTCAAATGAGCCTCTCCTAAAAGTTAGGGGACTTGCCCCACCGCAGGCCTGAGGGAAGGCAGGAATTTGTTTGTCCCACAAGGTGCCAGTGCCCACCCTGCGGCATGCAACAAAAAATCCGCGCCCGCCCACATGCCCGCCCGTGGGGAGAGTCCCCTAACTTTGACGGGGCTCATTCTCAACCTGGCTGGGCCATGGACTGGTGGTTTAAGGGATGACATTGAGATATCATCTTTCAAGTTGAGCTGACCGGCCCCGCGTAAATTCATCAGAGTTAAACCACCCTACCTCCGGGCCTGTTTTTGCCTACCCTGATTTCCACTGCCGAGCGAGTTTTCCCACGCCTAGGTTCCGTTTTGTTTCTTTTCTGCTACTCTCCTGGAAAAGAAAAAGAAAAAAGGCACGGCCCAACTTCCAAAAACGACCCGCTCGCAGCACAAAAACGAAAAAGAAAAAAACACCCCTCGCGACGTGATACCAGGTAGATACTTCGCCCAACGTCGTTATGTGAGTATGCCCTCAGTGAGGGTGTTACGGCAAAAGGGTGTCAGGTCCACGGAAGAGGGAAAAGGGCAAAAACAAATTCGAAGCTGAACTTGGGCGTGAAAGCAGGTTCATGCATTCTGCAAAGTAATAGTGTGGGCATGCTCTCCTCCACAAGCGTTAGCAGCCCGTGGACTGGGCCATGCCTCTCTGGCGGGGCACAAAAACAAGAAAAAAAGAACGAAAACGAAAATAAAAACCAAAAACAATGAAAAGCTGAAACTGGCCACTACGTGAGAGTTTTTGTGCACGGCCTTCCCCGACACGATCTTTTGTTTTTCTTTTTGTTTTTCGAAGGGGTCCTCAAGGCCCAACTGCCGAGCCTCGTCCAACCCCCAATAACTAACAAAAAAGTGGGAAAAAGGCGAGTTCGCACTTTTCCCATTTTTCCCAACACTGGTGGAGGTAGGTAGTGTTGGTTTAAACCACCAGTACCTACCGGTTGTCCTGGCGCATTGTCGGGACCGCGACTTTCGGAGGCCTGCACCTTGATGTGGGCCGTAGATTCAAAATCTGACCAGTGGCCGGCCCCCAAAAGTCGCAGCGCATTAACGTGAACGCCCCGCGGCAGGCAGGCCTGCACCGCGATGTAGGCCGTAGATTCAAAATCTAAGTAGTGGCCGGCCCCCAAAACTCGCAGCGCGTTTACGTGAATGCCCCGCGGCCACATACCGGTAGAGGTACTGGTGGTTTAATGTTTACTTTTACTAATCTGATTCCATCCGCATTCGAACTCCGGTCTACAGCTCGTGGGGGCATGCTCACAGTTGCCCACAAAATAATCACAAGGAGAAAACCCATGCGAACAATTTCCACAACGGAGCCCGACATACCAACTCCATAACCCTACAGAAACCCAGCCCATGTGGCTGAATCACGAAAACAGAACACGAGATCAAATCCTGATAACATCAGTCAGTATGAGTACAAAAATGTATGAAGCTAAGCCTCTTTGAAAAAAACAGAACAGGGGAGGGGGGGCCTCAAAAAATAAGGTCAAGAATACCGAAACCAGTAAACACGAATGGTTAGACCAAACAACCCAAATCAAGGGGAAAACATTGGCGACAAAATGGGGGCTTGATAAGAAGGGCATTGAGGTAAGGGTGAAAAAAAATAGGCGGATTAAATAATTTAAAAACAAAACACTAGCAAAACAATGCTGATTAAGGCAACAAACATGTAGACGCAAAAAATCGCACTCTCTCTCACCTTGAAGGCAGGCCTCTTTGGAAGCGTGTAGACCGAGCGCCATCCGTTCACATGCATCATGTACCCAGTGACAATATCTTCTGTGACGGACCCATACATCCATCCCACCGACACTCCCCATTGTGTGTTGTCCTCGTACCCACAAGATATCACCAGAATTGCATCACTCAGAACTTGGTACGGATCCACAGCCGGGACACCACCATCTGCATTCATAACCGTCGCGATGAAGTTCGTGCAGGTCCTGCATTGCAAAGCATAATCGATTTGACATGTTAAAGGATATCAAGAGCTGGGCAGAGGACACAGACAGATACAGGAGACACCTCGGCAAACGAGACATACAACCCCTTGTGCCTGGGTGGATTGGGAGGGTGGGGTTCTCAGAGACATTGAAACTGAGGATGCATCTCTGTACGCACAGACATAAACACACCACACACGCACACATTCACCTGCTGCTCCCATTACAGATAGTCAGCGAATCACAGACAATCAGGAAAAAAGGGGGAAAACAACAACAATCAGGACGGTTAATTTACAGTTGATTGATCACATTACACGGGTGATTAATTAGAATGATCAAATCTCTACTTGTTGATTGATCACATTACACGGGTGATTAATTAGAATTATCAAATCTCTACTTGTTGTTGATTGATCACATTACATGGGTGATTAATTAGAATTATCAAATCTCTACTTCTTGTTGATTGATCACATTACACAGGTGATTAATTAGAATCATCAAATCTCTATTTGTCACAATGTTACAGGGAACGAGGAGATGGTACTTCACACCAAAGGATCGACATCGTCATCACACACATCGAATGAAAACCCATTCATAAAAATCTCTGCCCAGTACAGACGATTGAGACACAAATACATTGGAAGATTGAGGCATCGCGGTCCCACAAATTCATTGGAAGATTGAGGCATCGCGGTCCGTCTTTCTTCTTGGAAGATTGCGGCATCGCGGTCAGGTTAAACCATGGGCACCAGATACTCACCCAAATCGCTTTGCGTGCCACTGAGTCGGGATGAATTGCTCCAGCTCGTCATCACCGGGGAAGGTCTCTCCCACCTTCGGGAGAACAGCCGTCTTATACTTGGATTTGCTCTTCTTCCCCTTCCCCTTCCCCTTACCAAGCAACCAGGAAGGAAGGCAGAAGGTCCTCTTCTTCTTGATCTTCTCCACAGGGCTCATGCCATACAGCGCTTGTCGCCTAAAGACACACCCTGTACCGACATACATCGGCCCTTGTTGTCCGTCCAACCCCTTCATGTTCACATCATAGAAAACTGTGTTGTGATTGGCATATCGATCGTTCCTATCGACACCATCGAACCGCTGCGGGAACTGCACATAGCACACTTGGCTCCCACTCGCCGGATCCATCCTGCAGCCACCACGTATGGCAATCAACCACACTGAGCACCGAGTCTCATGGATTTCCTCTATAGCACAGAATAACTGGCCGTAGTACTAATAGTAGTACAGTAGTCATAGTAGCAGTAATGGAAGTGGAAGTAGTGTTCACAGTAGTAGTAGTAGTAGTAGTAGTAGTGGTAGTAGTAGTACTGGTAGTAGTAGTTGTGGGGAATGTAACCAACGGTGGTGGTCCCCTACCACCGAAATGAGAATTCATCGTTCTGATAGCTGAACTTTTGCACACACATATTGTGCAATTGCAGTAG